CTGATTTTTATTGTGAAACTTTCTTGTCTTGTCAATAAAAAGAAAGGCTGATTTTGAATCGCTGCTGCCCCCCTGATGGGTGGCAATCTGCAGGCCTCATTCATGGTACTTTGAGTGAATTCTCTTTCTCTTTTTTCCGGCTTGGTTACACAGAGGAAAGTGCAACAGTTACATAGAGAAGCTGACAATGAGCAGAGTAAGGAAGGGTGAGTGGGAGTTATCCAAGTAAAAAAGGAGGAGTATGCACTCCCCCTAGGCAGAGAAGACGATATATATACAGACAGGGAGGAATAAAATGGCATTGTGTGTAATTGAGAATTGTAAGCAGTTCTTGATACCAGCATGTAAAATGAGAGGTGGAACATGGTGGTGACTGAAACTAGAAAGATCATACAAGGGTGGAGGATAGAGAATTTTGTATGCCATGTTAAAAAAAACTTGGAGTATATCCTACAGAGATGTGAAATGATCGGTAAGTGTTGAATGATGGGCTTCAGGATACACCACCCCCAAATATGGCACCTGGGCATTTGAGAAAACAGCAGAAGCAGGAAGGTCACTCTCCCTTTTCCCCCACTCTTCTCCCCTAAAGCAGGTCATAAAACCCTCATTTGACATGTGCCCTCCCTATACTCAGAGGAAAGGAGCATCCTTATCTCTAAAGATGCGAAGTCACCAAGAGGAATCTGAACAAACAGACCTTATTGAGTTTCCCCCAGAATGAGCAATCATTTTCACTACATGAGCAATAAAATAAAAGGGACAGTTAGGTATTTTGGATATGTTATTCAGTAGCAAGATGAAAACTGGACTTAGAGGCACGTGAAATAAATCTGAGGACAGGGAAATAAATTGGGAAGTTACTGCAATAGTCAGATGTGAAAGGATGAGAGCCTAGTTAAGCAAAGAGTTATGCAAATAGGGAGGAGGGGAAAGAGTTAAAAATATTCAGCAGTTCAAACAATGAGGCTTGATAAGTGACAGGAGATGGGTGGCCAGGGATAGAGAAGAGTCTAACATGGCTAACTTTTTTTTTGGCTTGGGCAACTAGGAGAATGATGGTATCATTGATTGAACAGGGAGATAAGCAAGTTTATGATTGGTAAAGGGGCACAGTGGTGAAATGAGGAGGTTTGGACATCCTGGATTGAAATACTTGTGGACTAATTGGGTGGAGACACTCAGCAAGTAGTTAGACTCTGAGTCTGAAACTCAGGAACGGAATGTAGGCTGAGCTGGCCTGCTGGGCGTAACAGCATGCAGGTAATAGTAAAGCCACGAAAGTAGATGACATCCCTTGGAGAGACTGTGTAGAGGGAGAAGCACAATAAGCTAATGATGGAACCCGGGGAAACATTAATTTTTAACGATTTAGATGAAGTGGAAGAGGCAACACCAACAACAAAATAACCCAGGAGTGTTGCTGAGGTAGGTCAGAGAAACCCGTGTGATGACACGGCTGGCAGAGGAGGAAAGCATGCAGCACCAAGGCTATTCAACTGAGCAGATATGTTTGTAAAATAAGGACTGACAGTGACCATTAGGCTTGGCAATATGGTGTTTACTGGTGTATTTTTTTTGCCAGAGTATTTTCAATAACATGGTAACAGCGGAAGATAAATTGCTTTGGTGAATCAAGTGTGAGGAAGTATATGCACACACACACACAGACACACACACACATATTTGTTATTTACTCAAGAAAGTTGATTAGGAATGGGAAAGCTTGTTTTTACACCACAGAAAGGACATCTCTGAGATAAGAGACAGTAAATATGGACGTGCAAAGCTTTTATACTAGGCAAAAAACCCACCCACTAGCCATTCCTTGAATTTCTCTAGGTTATGATCTTAATGATTCTGAAGGAGCAACTTTCTCTTTCTAATATGATCTTCAATTTTTTTAAAGAGAGGTTCAATTCATGCCTCAAGACTAAGCTTTTCCAAATTCTCCAGGGTGAGTTATGCCTTTCCCCCATTTTTCCACAATACTTTGTTTATTCCTCACCTGTAGCACCTAGTATACCATGTCACTACCTGTTTGCATGCTTCCTCCGCCCCCCGCCCCAGATTATAAATTACCTGCAAAGTTAGACTATATCTTTGTATTTCTAGTCTCTATAATATTTTCTGGCACAAACTAAGTCCTCAATTTATTAAATTAATTAATTCCCACTTAAAAATCTCAAAGACATCTCAAAAGGACCTTATCTAAAACTATTAATCTTAATGAAAACATGTACTATTTCTCCCGTCTTCAAGGCAGAAAATTTAGTAGCCTTCCTTAACTCCTTCTGCATCCCATTCATCTATGTCTGTATTTCTTGTTAATTCCTCACTAAAGTATATCTCAGATCTTCCAATGTGCTGTTTATTTCAGGACACCAAGAACTTGGGTCTGCCATAGTGACAACCAGCCAACTTGTCCACCCCAAATTATTCTCCCTCACAGCAGCCAGAATGACATGTTTGAAATATACTTATAATCATGTTATTTTTTTTCTACTGAAATCCCTGTAATGGTTTCTTAGTAATAAAACACTCAAATCCTGAACATGTTCTCCTGAGCTGTATATGATCTAGCCCCCACTACATTTCTGATCTCTTCTGACACCCTTCTCCCATCTTCTTTCTTATATACAGACATTCATATGTGCTGTTTTCTCAGCCAGAAATGCATTCCTCACCATTATTTGTTAGGTATTTCTATTTATCATTTATGTCTCAGCTAATTTTCACTTCTTCAGTGAGATCTTTTAAGACCACAAATTCAAATTATGTCTCCTTATTTTCACTCCTGTTCTTTTACTGAAATGCATTCCTCACCATTATTTGTTAGGTATTTCTATTTATCATTTATGTCTCAGCTAATTTTCACTTCTTCAGTGAGATCTTTTAAGACCACAAATTCAAATTATGTCTCCTTATTTTCACTCCTGTTCTTTTACTTCATACTACTTAACTTGTCTGTGCATGTGAGAGAGAGTGTGTGTGTGTGTACAATGTCTCTCTCCTTACAGAATGTTAAGATGCATAAAGACTATGATATGCAACCAAAAGACATAGGAACCATGTCTGTTATTTCACTTCAATTTCTTCAGCACCTATTATTATAATGAAAATAGTAATAATAAAATACTTATCTGTTGAATGAATGAAAGAACAGAATGTGTTTATTTTCAGCAGCACATTCTTACATAACTTAGGATAAAAAGTTACAGCTATATATTCACTCACAAGGGGCTTAGCCATGCAAGAATAGTTGAATATGCGAGATAATTTTTCAATTTAATAATAATTCAGGTTGGAACTAGAAATAATGTAAAGAAATAGTATAAAGAAGAGTTCAGCAATACTGCTCCTCACCTCCGCCTCCCATCCTAAGAAAACCAATCATAACATATGTTTTCTTTCTGGCATTTTTACTGTGTGTGTGTGCATGCATACACTGTAATTCACTGATTAAACTAAATTTATGGAAGGCTTTGTGCTCAGCACTGAGTCAGCTCTGAGGATACCAGGATAAATAAGAGCACCAGAAAGCTCATTCTCTAATGTTGAGAATAAGACTCAAATGCTAACAAAAGTCACTTGGATGTTTTATTAAATCAGAATGTTTTTTTAAGAAAAGAAAAGTCTATTGTATACATACCAATCACTAAAAAAATGTCTTAATGTGAGCTGGTCTCAAAAGGCCCAGGATCACGGGATTTTTATGCCAGGCTTTCGAAATAAGATAATACAACTACCGTGGATAATCACTCGTCCTGTGCAGGATGGAGTCTAACGCTAATGACCTTATGTTCTTCTACCCTCCAGGAGTTTTGTGCTGAATCCATCTTAATTTTAAAACCACTAGATGACCTGACACACCACATGGTGTCCATCAGCCTGGAAGGTTCTTTTCTCTTCTTTCCTTGCAAACTCAGCCTCATGGGCCCCCTCCTCAGGCTCCCAGGTCCGTAAATCTATGTCCTCTTATTATATCGTAATCATGGTTTTTTTTGTTTTTTGTTTTTACTTTTTTGCCTTCCTCACTTAACACAGACATACTATCTTTATTTCTCTACCTTTATTTCAGTGGTAGGCAAATAAGTGCACGATGTGCATTTAATACATGTTTATTGAAGAAAAGTTATAAGGATGGAAGAAATCATATTCTGTTTTTATACTGTAAAAATTAGAAATGACTATGATATATAGGCTGGAGAACACAATGACATATTCCTTAACATGTTTTAGAACAACAACAACAACAAAAAACCCCAAAAACAAAGCAAAACAATAAAGCAAAAAATAAGCAAACACAAGTTTTGCCCTGTGCCAACATTACTTGAAAACTCTTGTTAGTTGGAGTCTCCTGGTTTCAATTAAGGAAAACCACTAAGAGAAGTAAAGAATTTTAGACCAATTTCTACCCAATTCTGTGCTACCTTTTTGCTGTTGGATATGTCATGACATGTTTTAATCTCTTTCTGGCTAATACTTCTTCTCCACCTCAAATGACACAGTTAACTGGGTCCCTGCTTAGGAATTTCTGGGAATGTACTGAAGATGGGCTGAGAGTGCTCAGTAGATAACCTAGGAATTGGAGTATAGGCAGATAGTCCCCTGATATCTAAAGATTTTCATGATTAGTTCAGGCTTTGGAAAGCCTCCTGTTTCTAAGGAACTTCTTCAGCCCATAAACAAGACCACCAAAGATGAGAAATATGGGTACTTTGGGATGTGACTCCCTTCCCCATGTCTGTTTTTTTTTTTTTCCAGTTGATCTTTGAGGAATGTACATGTGCTGACATTGTAGACATGTACCTGTAAGGTCATCAGTGGGCCAGGACCCCAGCTGGCATGCCTTGCAGGTGTATTCATCAAAGACATACTCATTCTCTTTACAAGGTGTACAGGTCCAACAACAGCTGACTTCTCCCTTCCGGATCACCTAGGGCAAATATTTAAAATTTTGAGTAATTATTTGGCATACATAAAAATTCAGCAATCCCTTATTCAAATTACTGCTTTGCAAAGCAGAAAGAACATTCATTTACAATATGTCAAATGTTAATATTCTTATTTTACAATTAAAGAAACCAAGGCTGAGTTTAAACAAGTCCAACATCATAAAGTTGGTTGGTGGCAGGGTCAAGAGTTAAATTAGGTGCAAGTGTTTGGATAATTAGCTTTGGATACCTGTATTTAATTAAGTTCCTCTGTTAGTGTGTATACATACACACACATTTGTATTTTTCACAGGATCTTAGCTTCTTCTTTTCTCAAATTAAGAACTTTTAAAAAACAAATTTTAATTTTTTTATTATTTATTTATTTTTTAAATGTTTTGTTTTGTTTTTATTGGTTATGAATATTCATGGGCTACAAAGCAAATTGTCACCACTCATGCCTAAGATGTGATGGCCAGAACCATACTGGCAGCATGCTCATTACCAGAAATTGTGATTATACCTCATGTCCCCCACCCAATTATCCGCTCAATTATCCCCGACCTCCCTCTCCATCCCTCTTTCCCCCTCCACTGTGTATCCCTAGGTATGTTCTTTCCCTCTGCCAGTCCAACAACACCATTGTGGTAAAGGACTTTTCCTCTCTGGATTTACTTTGGCTTCCCTCTGCTAGTTGAATAAATGTGAGCAGAAAACATTGCATATCTCCTAATGTTAAAAAATTTATCCATATTGATGAAAATCAATTAGGAATTAGTATTGGTATAAAGACAAAGGAAGAAGATAAAGGTTTTTCTCGAGGTAATTTCTTGGTCTTTTTCTTCTAAATGTCTAGTTCAATAATTCACCCCATTCATTTCCATTTTAGTAGCTTTGCTTTGCTTAACATGAAGGTAGATAAAGTCACTGAGACTATTATACACTTCTTCATCTATTTGATTTTTTAAGACAATGGAAAATAATTGAAATAATTTAACAGTTGATAGAGTCCCAGATGTTATTCTTTAGAAAATGGGTGTGCCTTTTTTCCCCCTGCCATTGGTCCATGAATAGCGTCTGTGGAACAGAGATAGCATTCATTAAGCATTCTTATAAATAATTAAAACTGTGATTAATAACCAGCGATAACCAGACACAGCAATGATTATACTTTGCATTCCTTGTCTTAGATGCTGACTCTATTAATGACCTTTGATTATAGCATTGTCTAGATACTTATAGCCAAATAAGATTGTAAGTTGGCACCTCTGTTTTACACAGTGTACTGTACTGTCCCTTGTGTTGACTTTCAAAACTGCAACAATACAGGTAGGAAACGATGACAAAAGAGCCTAAAATATTATTTCCCTAAATTGCTAATTAGATCTGCTTATTCTAGCAAAAATGTTCTTCAAAAAATATTGACTATTGGGGCGGCCCGGTGGCGCACTGGATAGTGCGCCGCTTGGGAAGCGCGGCGGCGCTCCCGCCCGAGGGTTCGGATCCTACATACAGACCGGTTCCCGCTCACT